TCGTCTTTGTCACCCAAAGCACCCACCGTGGACACCTCGCCAGGCTGAGTAGCACTGGATTAATGGTCTGCAGCATGCGGTAAGACAGCCAGGCGTGTGTCCTGAGTCGGCATCAACCTCCACCACCTTGGTGACCAGGTAGCCGGGCTCTGTTGCGCGTGGCACCGTGTCGAAGAACGCCGAGCCGTCGGGCCCCAGCGCCGGGTACAGCACCCGCGGCGCGTTGTCGTTGCGGTCGCCCACCAACACGCGCAGGCTCACGTTGGCGCTGAGCGCGGGCGAGCCCTGGTCGCGGGCCTGCAGCGTCAGCTCGAAGGTGCGCAGCTGCTCGTGGTCGAAGGCGCGCTGCGCGACCACCACCCCGCTCTGTGCGCTCACGGACACGTAGGACGACAGCACCCCCGGCTCCAGGTCACTGGCCACAATCAAGTAAGAGACACGGCCATTGGGCTCCAAGTCTGGTCAGAGGTGCTGACTTGCCCTGTGGAGGCTCATGGCTGTTGTTCATGGCCACGTGAACTATGTAGGAAGCCTGGTGGAAAACCAGAACGTTGTCCTTGACATCACCAATGTGTAGGGTGACACTTGTGCTGGAGGACAAAGGCGAGTTGCCCTGGTTCAGTCGCTGGCTGCGATGGTGACATTATACTCTGGGGTCTGCTCCCGGTCCAGGACCCTATCTGTTACAAGCTTCTGGTGATTTTTGGAAGAGGATTCTATTCTGAAAGGTGCATTTTACTTGTATCAGGCACATGACCTCCCCACGTCTTCTCCTGAATCTGGATCTTTTGTTTTAAACAGAGTGGTTACTGTCCGAGGTGTAGAATCTTAGGGAATCATTGTGGAAATAGAAGCAAAAATCACCTCTGGGATATTGTTACTATCCTCTAGAATTTCGGTCTCAACTGTACACTGGGTAACCAGTCCTCCCCTGTTTCTTGCTTCCAAAACCATAGAACAATTTTTAGTCCCTTCTAAGTCCAAGTTACTTAAAGTTCTCGTTTCTCCACTATTTTGATCAAGGCCAAACTACATATGGGTGGGCTGCAAAGGCATACATGATCTCTGCATTGATGCCCTCCTCTTGGCCAGTGGCCCTCACCCTCAGCATGGATGTTCCAGGGGGCACAAATTCCCAAAGGCTGACCCTGTATGCATCCTGGATGAACACCGGGTGGTTGTCTCTGGTGATGACCACCAGGATCAGGATCCGAGTGGTGCTGTTTTGCAGTGGATCCCCACCATCAAAAGCTGTTAGCATTAGGTGATGAGAACTCTGCTTTTCCTGGTCTAGTGGCTTCTCTAATACAAGTTCAACATACTTCTTTCCATTATTGGTCTTTTACGTCCAAGATAAATACAGAGTTGCTACTAAGGTGGTAATTTTGTAAAGAATTGCTTCCAACATCAGGATCTTCTGGAGGTTCTCTTGCAAATCTTGCTCCAGGTGGGATCAACTCAGAGATATTTAGCTTAATAACATGCCTGCTGAACCATGGGGCATTATCCTTCACATCCTGAATCTCTCTATTAACAAGAAAAATATTTAAAGGATTTTCACCTACCATTTCTAGATGTATGGCACAAACTGTGTTTTGGGGGCATAACTCCCAATCCATCTTGCCACTCACAAATAAGTCTCTGCTTTCTTCGCTAAGTGTGAAGTATTCTTTTTCAGCATTAACCTCCAGCTTTCAAGTAGGTAAATCCTGGATACTGAGCCCTAGATCCTTGGAAAGGTTTCCCGCCACCAAACCCTTAGCCAGCTCCTGGGCGACTGAATAGCATACCTGCCCAAAGAATGTCTGGCAGGACAAAAACAGCAGGAAGGGAAGGACTTGCTTTGGTCCCATCCAGTCCATCAGTCCAGTGATGTTCCCTATCTCTTCCACAGTCTGGGTCACTGCTGCTCCACCCCAGACAAGGCTGTTTCCAAACTGTACTTGGATTATAGAGTCTCCAGGCAAGAAGGAGCAGAGTTCATTTCCAGTGAACCCATGACTTCCCCTATATAGATTTGTAGAACTAAGAGTCAGAATAGGAATGTTTCCAATCTGCTTCTGGATTTGCATTTCAGCAGATTAGGAAAGTCACCATGCAGGAATGTTAGGGGATCTGGTCCATTATCTCTGTGTCTGAAATGGCCAACAAAGCTGTCTGAGTCCCTACTCTTGAACGGCAGCCTGAAGAAATCAGAATGTGAGGTTCTGGAGAGATGAGAACAAACAGAAAGATGTTTCTGACTGGAGCTGGCAAGTTGAAAGGTGGTAGTACAGTCTTGCTCACACGATGAAATATTCCTGGGAATTTATAACCTCAGTGACTTCCGCACATGAAGTCAAAGTAATGACTTTTTATTTCTACTTTTGAGAACAAACAGAAAGATGTTTCTGACTGGAGCTGGCAAGTTGAAAGGTGGTAGTACAGTCTTGCTCACACGATGAAATATTCCTGAGAATTTATAACCTCAGTGACTTCCGCACATGAAGTCAAAGTAATGACTTTTTATTTCTACTTGACATTTGAGTATTTTTAGGCTAAGAATCTTTTTATCCCCCCCGCCCCCCCCCCACACCAAAGCTTTACTTTTTTCATTAACAGTCTCGGGATAAAATGTTGGCTGAATCTTCACCTGAAAATATATAGGAAACTTGAAAGAGATTTCAGAATACAGAAATTTTATGGATTGGGGCATCTATTTTCAAAATTTAACAAATGTCCAGGTACTTATCTTTGTAAGATAGGTCAGAGACATTTTGATACAGAGGGAAAGCACATGTAAAATTATTGGTTTTGCACTGTGATTCCTTTTTCCAAGAGACCACTTTCTAATTATTGAGCTCAAGCAATTTATTGAGTAATTAGAAGGTGTGCAAACCACTGTGTAAAATGCTTCAGAGCGTTAAAGATGAACTAAGAAATTATACCTTTTCTCAATGAAATTACACATAGTAGATCTTTGTATGACTTGTCTAAGAGAAATTATGGCGGTATCAAATTTGCATTAAGGTAAATTGTTTTGTCTGACTCTATGGTTTGTACAATGACAATATCTTCATATTTTCCCAAACCAGAGATCTTACAATATGGTATCCAGAAGCCACATTCTCTATAAAATATTTTTTCAATTACCATTGCCATAGGCTATCTTTGCCATCAGAATTTTAAGAATGCATCTTAAACAGTATTCTCTGTTATCGGTAACTTTCCACCAAAAATGGTTTCCTAAAAGTGAACTCCAAGCGTAACATACATTCAAGAGTAAATTTGACTCTTTCCTGAGCTATAAACTCATGAGTTTGATCAACATCCCTTCACAACTATATGTTTGCTTTTTCATACCTGATATCTTGTATGTGGAAAAAGCAGATTTTCCACCAGAACTATTCAAATCATGATCATAGCTATACTGTTACATGTCACTGAAAAATTGTGATACAGTCCACTCATTTATCATTAGCCTTCTAATTCGTTGGAAAATGATCTATGAATTGTGTAGTCTCAGCCGGGTTACTAGGCTATTGCTCTTTCAAGAAGCATAATACCTGTCCTGGAATGAAAGTGGTGGAAAAATGTCTGCTGACAGATTACATTCCAATTTTAAGTGTTATAAAACAGTGGAGCTACAACATTTAAATTATAGCTGAACACTTTGATTGGCTTACTAGGTGAAATGAATGCATACCCACATGCCATAACACATAGGAAGACAAGCAAAGTCCTTCACATAATCTCATTACTGGAATCAGAAAAAATGTAAACATCCAAACCCATTGCCCAGTTACTCTCAGGAAACATTCAACAAATATCCTAATTATCTATCCTAAATTATCAACAAATATTCTAAATATTTAAATATTTAAAGCTAAGCTATTAGTTTTGATTTTATTGGCCAAAACCAAACAACTCCAACCTTCAGGTTTTGGTGATCTATTTTTCAGTTTAATCACCCAAGATCTTGTTGGAGTAAATTGCTCCTTTAATATGTTTCATAGGATGCTTGTTTAGTTTACAGTATGGTTCAGACAGAGAAAAACTAACACTCACAAAATTGTCTCCTACAAAACAATCTTCCCTCCATCTTTTTTTAAATGTGTAAGAAATATACACCATATTTGGAAGTTCATGAATGATTTAAAACCATGAGATGGGCCGGTCCTGTGGCTTACCCAGGAGAGTGCGGTGCTGATAACACCAAGGCCACAAGTTCAGATCCCTATATAGGGATGGCTGGTTCGCTCACTTGGAGAGCGTGGTGCTGACAACATCAAGTCAAGGGTTAAGATCCCCTTACCGGTCATCTTTTAAAATAAAAACAAAAAACACAAAACCAAAAACCATGAGATGACAGGACACTGAGAAAGTATAAAAGTATGCATTCCTAATTGCCAGAAAGAATTACTGCACCTTAAAAGAAACTTAATGCACCTTATGAATTTGTTAGCAATCTCAAGTGTAGTTAAAAGCCAATGTTTATAAAAGTTTGCTAAAATTTTCATTTATACTTTCTATTGAATAAGATTTCTCCCCTCTAGAAGAAGCTACTTTTTTTTTTTTTTTTTTTTTTTTGGTGGCTGGCAGGTAAAGGGATTATACCACCCATGACCTCGGCGGCATAATGCTGTGCTTTAACAAACTGAGCTAACCAGACAGCCAAGAATCTAAATTCATAACAGATAAATTGGTATCAGATCCTCAACACAAAACTGCTGCATGGGCAAAGGGGGAAAAAATTAAAAGCAGGAAGAGTATTATAGTTGATAAATTAAACTAGAAAATTATGTAGAGTATTAACAAAATACTTTATAAATTGTGTATATATGTATATGTAGTATATATGTGTATATATATGACATGAGGGAAGGTAACTAGGTTGTTGGTGTCTGCTACATATATATAAAGTTACTGATGTCTGCTTTATAAATTCCAAATATACACAAATCTATACTTAAGGGATATTGCGCTCAAAGTTCAGAGAAGAATATTTGATATGGACCCACCTGAATTAATGCATGATTATCCTTAGAAAATCCCGAATCACCTGACAGCAAAAGAGGCTCGCTTTTCTCACAGCTCTCCTGGCTGATGAGAGTGTCCGCGTAGTTGGGCTGAGGGAAGATTAGGTGACTCTTCCTCGAGTCTGCGGTGAGGGAGACCTCGTGGGAATAGGTCTGCAGGAAAGCCCGCACCCCATCCACACCCACAAAGTGCGAGGCGGACATGCCCGCCAATCCTTCTCCAGCATCCTGGAACAGATGCGACGAGTGCCAGCGCCGCAATCTGAGCGCCAACAGCACGATGACAAAGGCAAGGAAGACGCAGGAGACGGCGGCCACCGCTACCACGAGATAGAGCGTAAGGTTTGAGGTTTTGCTGTTGGCGGGAGACTCGAGACTGCCAAGATCCGCGAGGACGTCAGGGATGCTGTCGGCCACGGCCACAGTGAGAGTGACGGTGGCCGAGAGAGGGGGTTGGCCGTGGTCCTGGACGGCCACCACGAGGCTCTGTTTGAGTGCGTCTCTGTCCAGTAGGGCCCGCGCCGTGCGCACCTCGCCCGTGTGCAGCCCCACCACGAAGAGCCCAGGCTCGCTGGCCTTGAGCAGGCGGTAGGACAGCCAGGCGTTCTGGCCTGAGTCTTTGTCTACTGCCACCACCTTGGTCACCAGGTAGCCGGGCTCTGCGGAGCGGGGCGCCAGCTCCACGCCTGTAGAACCATCTGTGGGGGGAGTGGGGTACAGGATCTCAGGCACGTTGTCATTCTGGTCCAGCACGAACAGGCTCAGCGACACGTTGCTGCTGAGTGGCGGGACTCCACTGTCACGCGCCATCACTTGCAGCTGCAGGTCTTGGAACTGCTCATAATCGAAGGAATGCAACGCATACAGGACACCCGTGTCCGAGTTGATGGAGACATAGGAGGACACGGGTGCCCCCTGGACGGTGTTCTCGACCAAGGAATAAGTGACTTGGGCGTTCTCATCACAGTCGGGGTCGCCGGCGGTCACCGAGACTAGGGAGGCTCCTCTAGGGTTGTTCTCTGGGATATAGGCTGAGTAGGAGGCCTGAGGGAAGATGGGCGGGTTGTCGTTGGTGTCTGCCACGTTCAACGAGATGTGAGTTTCTGTGGAAAGGGGCGGACTTCCCCTGTCAGTGGCGGTCACGGTGATGTTGTAGCTAGGAAACTGTTCCCGGTCTAAAACTGTGTCTGTGACTAAGCTATAGTAATTTCCGTAAGATTTTTCTAATTTAAAGGGTAGATTCTTCTGGATGAAACAGATCACCTGTCCATTTTCCCCAGAGTCTTGGTCATTTACATTTAAAAGGGCAATTAATGTACCTCTGGGAGAGTTTTCGGGAACAGAGCTGGTGAGAGAGGTGAGGACTACTTCAGGGGCGTTGTCATTGACGTCCAGAACTGTGATCAGGACTTTGGCTCGAGCAGAATATCCTGCGTTATCCATTGCTTGCACTTCCATCTCGTAGAATCCTGATTCCTCGTGGTTTAGCTCCCCTATTGTTGAGATTGTCCCTACATTGCCATCTAGCTTGAAAACTTGGGCCGCCTTGTCGTCCACATACCGGAAGGAATACATTACTTCGGCATTGGCTCCTTCGTCAGGGTCCGTGGCGTTTACCAGGAGCAGCTGAGTGCCCACGGCCACGTTCTCCGGAACGCTCACGTGGTACTCGGACCGAGCAAACGCTGGGGCGTTGTCATTCACATCAACGACCGTGACGCGGATGCGCGCGGTGCCGGTGCGGACCGGGTCGCCCCGGTCGGAGGCCGTGAGGGCCAGGTAGTGAACGGCCTTTTCTTCGCGGTCCAGGGCGCGCTCCAGCACCAGCTCCGGGTACTTGATCCCGTCCGCTCCGGTTTGCACTTCCAGGGAGAAGTGAGTGTTCGGGCTGAGCTTGTAGCTCTGGAGAGAGTTCTTCCCGATATCCGCATCCCAAGCGTGGGGAAGGGGGAACCGCATCCCAGTGGCTGCGTTTTCACTCATTTTTATTTCTAATTCACTTTCACGGAAGTAGGGGGCGTTATCGTTAATGTCTCTCACTTCCACTTCCACTCCATATATTTTTACTTTATCCTCCATCAGAATCTCTAGATTTAACTGACACTTGATGGCCCCTATACAGAGCTCCTCCCGGTCTATCCTGCCCGCCGTGACTAAGGTGCCGCTTCGCGGGTTCAGCGCGAAGAGTTGAGTCCTACCTCTGGAGACGATGCGGACTCCGCGTTCTGCCAGCTCCGGGGGCTCCAGCCCCAGGTCCTTGGAGATGTTGCCCACGAAAGAGCCTTTCCCCAGCTCCTCAGGAATGGAGTAGCTTATTTGGGTGCATCCGGTTTCCCACTGGATCCCCAGGAGGACTCCCAGCACAACCAGCCTTTTGCAGTCCCGGTGCCCTAGAGCAGGAATCATTGTCACTTTCCTCGAGGATTATTTCCAATTCTCCCCTAAACCATCAAAGTCAGAATCAGCTCTTCAGCCCCTGGAATCCGACAGTTGGGGGGCCAGAGCTCCTCTGTTCGGTTTTCTCACAGTCCCAGAGATGGTTCGTTTCTATCTATCTGTGCTTTGTGCTTTAAGTGAGTGCAGGGCAAGCAGGATCTCTCTGCTTTTCTCTCCCTGATTGGTGAACAGCGGCGCTCAGAGTCCTAACCAATTACTGCACAATCTTGAACTCTAGGAAAGGATTTTCGTTTTTATACCTTAAATAGCTCCACCTACTGTTCTTCAAGTAGGGATGGAAATGGAGCTTACTACAACCATGACGTTCGTTTTAGTAGAAACTTCAGTGAACTTCTTATTTTCCTAAAATTTTTCATATAGAGTCATTTTATTGAGATTATTTTCTGTAGCTGTTGTTGTATTCTGGATTTTTCTAATGAGCTTTTAAGCAAATCTGAGCTTTCTATAAGCAATAATTTTAACCTTATAATTTTAGTGCACCTGCTTTGAGGTTACCCTCCCCCCACACATACTTACTATATAAGGTGTCCCCCTAGGAGTTTCCTGTTTTGAGAAATCATATAATAGAATAAGTTAAACTTTCTGACTCAGCTCTAATTTGACGCAAAAATTTTTCAATGCATTTCTTGAATTCCCTTAAATAGAAAACTAACATTTAACACTTAAAAATCAAAATTTCCTGATAATATAAAAATCTAAATGAGAAATGTAACTGTACACATCATCAGAGTCACACCTGGCAATAAGTCAAGTTTAAAAGACACATTAACAATTTTAGAATAAAATGGAAGCATTCCGACTTGCATTGACTGGAAATAATGGTAGTACTCCATGTACTAATATATTATGAAAGAATGTTTAGTGTCGGGGAAGACAGTAAATCCAAAGAACATTACCAGTACTCCATGTACTAATATATTATACTAATATATTATGAAAGAATGTTTAGTGTCGGGGAAGACAGTAAATCCAAAGAACATTACAAACTTACCTTTTTCTGGGTAACTGACTTAATTCCAACTATTGAGAATTACTGATAATACATTTGGAAGCCCATCAAAATATAGAAAAAAAAAATCTCCTTAAGAGATGGCTGACTATTATACTTTCATGAATGTATATATTTATATTCTGAGGATATGCACATCTGGGGTAGACATAAAATAAAATAATCTTTAAAACTGAGAGGACATCTACAGGTAGTTGTAAGAACAGATCAGACATAAAATTGCGCTACTCAGTGGGATTCCAACAATTCCTAGATTATCAAATATTATCAAATCATTACTATTTCCTTTTTAAAAAGCATTTTCTCATGCATTTTCATCTCAATTTATAGTTAATAGAGTGAAGAGGAAGCCTTATATACTCAAGATATCCAAGTCCCAAAAAACACCAATGGAAAGAAAAAATTTATACTTCTCTTAAAAATATCTGAATGGCAGCAGCATCATAATACCCACTTCTCAGGGTAGTTTGTGCATGTGTGTATGTGTGTGTGTGTGTGTGAGAGAGAGAGAGAGAGCATGTGTAAAGAATATCTCAGGTGAAATTGTCATTATATTTCAAAATACTTGAAGGCTAATAATGAAGTTACCGGCCTGCACAGAAAGGAAAACATAATATTAAAAGTGGGCAAAGAAACTTGAAACAACAGTAGATATAATCTGTTTAAGATTTTCTTGGCAAAACATTGGCTTGAAAATTAAACCACCCCTTTTACAAATGAAAGACATTCATTGAAATTCACGTGAGTAGAAGCAACAGAGTCAGAGCTTAGCTAGTTACTTTCAGTGACACTTACTACCAAAGAAGCTTCATTTGAAAGATCTTGTGGGGGGACCCTGTCTGGCGTCACAGTGAGAAAATTAAACCTTGTTTTTCCAGAATCAGAGGCAACGTACAGATTGTAGGAATAAGGCAAAGTTCCTTCATTGTAGTTGGGAGAAAACCCTGGTCTAGTCTTAGAACAGAGCCCAGGCTGAAAGCAGCCCCAGGCTACTGGGCTGGAGGAGTGACACAGGCGCAGGGCGATGGCTAGAGTCACTGCCAGGAAGAAGAGCACCGAGATCAAGGCCAAGGCAACCACCAGGTAAAACTGCAGCTCCGCCTGAGGGTCAGAGGACACAGGGCGATCGCTAAGTTCTGGCAGTGCCTCTTGCATGCTGTCCGCAAAGACCAGGTGCAGCGTGGCGGTGGCCGAGAGAGGTGGCTGTCCACCGTCGCGCACAGCGACCAGCAGGAGCTGTCGGGCCGCGTCCCTGTCCCCCAAGGCACGCACCGTACGCACCTCGCCAGTGCGTAGTCCCAGGCTGAAGAGCCCGGGCTCGCTGGCTTGCAGCACGTGGTAGGACAGCCAGGCGTTGTGTCCCGAGTCTGCGTCCACTGCCACCACCTTGGTGACCAGGTAGCCGGGCTCCGCCGCGCGCGGCACCGTGTCGAAGAGCGCCGAGCCGTCGGGCCCCAGCGCCGGGTACAGCACCCGCGGCGCGTTGTCGTTGCGGTCGCCCACCAACACGCGCAGGCTCACGTTGGCGCTGAGCGCGGGCGAGCCCTGGTCGCGGGCCTGCAGCGTCAGCTCGAAGGCGCGCAGCTGCTCGTGGTCGAAGGCGCGCTGCGCGAACACCACCCCGCTCTGTGCGCTCACGGACACGTAGGACGACAGCACCCGCGGCTCCAGGTCACTGGCCACGATTGCGTAAGAGACGCTGCCGTTGGGACCCAAGTCCGGGTCGGAGGCACTGACTCGAGCGATGGAGGCTCCAGGCTGATTGTTTTCTGGCACATGGACCAGGTAGGCGGACTGTTGGAAAACTGGGGCGTTGTCGTTGACATCGGAGATGTGTAGGGTGATACTTATGCTGGAGGAGAGGGGCGGCTTGCCCCTGTCAGCGGGTCGGAGGCGCTAATCTGGGCGATGGAGACTCCAGGTGGGTTGTTCTCGGCTACGTGAACCAAGTAGGACGCCTGGTGGAAAACTGGAGCGTTGTCATTGATGTCAGCAATGTATAGAGTAACGCTTCTGTTGGAGGAGAGAGGTGGCTTGCCTCTGTCGGTGGCGGTAATGGTGACATTGTACTCCGGGGTCTGCTCCCGATCCAGCGCCCCATCTGTTACAAGCTTGTAGTAATTATTGGCGGAAGATTCAATTCTAAAAGGAACTTTTTCTTTTATGTGGCATGTGACCTCTCCATTTTCTCCCGAATCTTTATCATGTGTTTTGAACAAAGCGATCACCGTCCCAGGTTCTGCGCCCTCAGTTACAGAACTGGACACTGAAGTAAGAACTATGTCTGGGGCGTTGTCATTCTCATCTAGAATTTCTAGCATAATTTTACATTCAGTGGCCATGCCTCCACCGTCCTTGGCTTCTATGTTCATAATATAACTGCTAGTGATTTCAAAGTCTATATGGTCTTTGGATTTGATTTCTCCATTTTGATGGTCTAGCATAAACGTATTTCCAATATCATCTCTTAGCGATTTGAAGGAGTAGGTGATCTCTGCATTAACACCCTCATCCTGGTCAGTGGCTGTTACCTTTAGCACAGAGGTGCCTGGGGGCACATTCTCTCTGAGGCTGACTTTGTACACATCCTGGCTGAACACCGGGGGGTTATCATTGGCATCAGTGACCTCGATTTGAATACAAGCGCTTCCAGATAGGACCGGGTCTCCCCCGTCCACTGCTGTCAGGACCAGAAGATGGGAACTCTGTCGTTCCCGGTCCAGGGGCTTCTCCAACACTAATTCTGGGGCGTTCTTGCCTTCACTCTTGTCCTTCACCAGCAGAGAGAAATGCTCATTAAAGCTGAGTTGGTAACTCTGGAGAGAGTGAGGCCCTACATCTGCATCCATAGCAGATTCCAGACCAAACCGAGTGCCTGGAACTGCAAGTTCATTGATTTGTAAAATCATGCTATTTTGGGGGAAAAGAGGTGGATTATCATTTATATCTTCTATCATCACATTTATGTGGAAAACATTTAGAGGATTCTCTGTTACAATCTCTATAGGCACAACACACAGAGAGTTTTGGGGGCAGAGCGACTCCCGATCTATCCTGTCGTTCACAAGTATGTTCCCATTCTCTGTGTCCACAGAAAAATACTGTTTTTCCGCACTAATTCTGAGGTTGCGGGTCAATAAATCCCGAACATGCAGGCCCAGGTCATTAGCGAGGTTCCCCACCACCGAGCCCCTGGCCATTTCTTCCGGAATAGAGTAGCGGATCTGCTGCGAGAGCGCCCCACAGAACAAAGGCAGCAGGAAGGGAAAGAGTACTTGCCGCCACCGGCTCCTGCTCCTCTTCTTCCTATTCCCCATCCTTCTCGTGTGTTGCTGTAGCCTCGGACGTTAAGATGCTTCCCAAATTGCTTTTAAAAGATTTACTTCCACCGTGTAGAAAACTCAGTGCTCCCAGTTTGAGGGCATCTCAACCCGTACGGAATCAAATTTGGAAGCAGAAAGCCGGAGTCGGGGCCACTCTCCTTTCGGACTTGCTTCTGTGACTGCGCAGAATATCACCCCGGTAGATTCTTGGCTCCAGCGCTTGCAGCGCGTTGGCTAACAGCGGCGCTCAGAGTCTATTTAGAAAACTGCAGTCAGAAGTCTTTGCAAAGTCAATGGGATTGAGTTTTCCGACAGAAATGTTGGACTGATGTATAGGGAACTGACAGTTTATGAGTTTTGGCTGTGTCTGTTTTCCGGTGTTCACTACTGGAGAAGGTCCCCTTAGAGACAGGATCCTATAGAACAGCCACTAACCCAGTGATGAGAGGTTAAAAAATTTGTCTTGTTCTAATCAGAGGCAATGCACATTACTGGAAGAACCAGGCAAAGTCTTCTCTCCAGATGTAGAAGAAAGATCACGTGGAAAAAATAGTCCCAGCAAGTGGTATAGGAAAATTGTGACAGCCATGAAATGACACCCAGTATTATCTTCAATTTGATGTGCAGATAATTTTCCTCCTTCTTTTATCAGGGGAAACTGGAGAAGCACTCAGAGCTAGACAGGGCATACTCAAAATAAAGATGGCCAATAAAATCTTCCTTGTTACTTAGAGATTTATGAAAAGGATTATTGTTTCATACTTGCATCATAAACAGAAAGAAAGGTATGCCTATTAGTTCACCATAGAAATTTAATGACATGAAATGTGAGTGTTTTATTTTTATTCTCTTATTTAATTGGACTATATGTTGCACCTTAACAGAACCTTATCACTATCTCTGAATCAAAATAACCTTCCAATATCAAGTTTCAAAGCCCACCCTTCCTTTTTGTTCTCCAAGATCTTGATAGCCAGATCCTAACTAGTCTGGACTCTATTAAAAATATGGAACAACCTCCCTCTCCCAGACAAATACCTCATGTCCTTTTTATTAATATAATTCTAGTTCAAATACAATGCCTTTAATCTTTTCTCTCAGTTTAGAATCCCATAAGCATAAATCCTATCCCTAGATGCTCAAAACATTAACATTTTTCTTGACTTCATGACAAATTTAGGCATCTGTTGGAAGATTTACCTTTCCTACAGCTGAAATTGTTTTTGCCCAAGCACTAGATACTTAATTTACACTTAATTACATTAAGGTCAATTACTAAATGAGAAACATAAACTTGAAAGGGAACATGACTATGTGAGTAATTTGGGCCAAATAACTAGAAGAGATGTAAGAATGCTGAGGAGAATTGATTATGGAAATGATTCCCATGATCAAATACCCTAGATCAGTCTCTTTCTCACTTGGCTTTTGCAGACATTTCTTCAGGTGACTATCAAGGCTTCAGTAACAAGTTGGTTCTAAATACAAGAATTGAGTATACTTATATATAATACAAATTGAGCTTATAAAGGAAAGAAAGGAGGAAACCATGACTCCTAGGTATATTGAAAATGAACAAAAGATATCCAGAGGAATACCAGCTAAATCAGTCTCTTATGAAGTCTAAATATCTACCCCCATCTTTTATATTCACAAACTCTTCTATATGAATAAATCTGAAAAATGTAAGCATTTTTAGTAGATTTAAAAATAACTTCTTGAAAAGCACTTAATCAAAATTAACTTATTTTTATATGTAAATTTATTACATTACAAAATCTTCTACATGTACACACACAGTCACTAAAAGTAAAAGGAAAGAAAAGAAAAGAATGCTTTGACCATTTAATTATTTCTTCAGAACAATCTAATGATTTCACTGAAGTAATAGAAAAGATAAAAGAACGGTTTGACCATTTAATTATTTCTTCAGAACAATCTAATGATTTCACTGAAGTAATAGAAAAGATATCTGGAATTTTTTCATACTCAGCTTACATGTGTAAGTGTGTGTATATATAGATAGACAAGAGAGAGCTAGAGAGAGCATGCTATTAAATCAACAGGGTCAAATTTGAACATTAGAAGTAAGAGCAGATAATGGTGGAATATAACTATGAGGGTACTTTTAAAAGTTCATTGAAAGATTTGTATTATTTTTCAATACTATTTTTCTATGAACTTTTTGAAGTACGCTCATATACATCAGTGAAGGCACTGATGAAATAGAGAAATAAATAACAAGTGTTTGCAAATCAGTAATTCATATCCTAATCAGTTTACATTGATAGCCACAGAGACTGATGATAGAAAAATAATACTAAAGTTCAACTCACTACATAGCAAGCTAAGATAGTTGAACTGGTTCTTTATATGCCAGGACTAAGAAAATGACTCCCACAAAAACTTTCTGAAAGATGATGGTAATCTGATAAAAGGTAAAATTCACGAACTCGCATGTATTGTTCTTTATATGTATGAACTAGATATACCCCCACAAAAAATTTTCATAACAGCCGCAGGAAAAAAAAAAAAGCCCCTTAAAAGACTTGCACCAAGACACGAACAATGGGGAGACGGAGAAATAAGTCTCACCTGATTACTTGTCGGGTCACATTTGCCTAAAATGGTAATTGAGTCTTCAGCTATCAGGAGTGGCTCGCTTTTCTCACAGCTCTCCTGGCTGATGAGCGTGTCTGCATAGTTGGGCTGAGGGAAGATTAGGTGACTCTTCCCCGAGTCCGCGGTGAGGGAGACCTCGTGGGAATAGGTCTGCAGGAAAGCCCGCACCCCGTCCACGCCCACAAAGTGTGAGGTGGGCATGCCAACTAACCCACCGCCAGCAGCCTGACGCATGCGCGACGAGTGCCAGCGCTGCAGCCTGAGCGCCAGCAGCAGGATGACAAAAGCGAGGAAAATGCAGGAGACCGCGGCGACCGCCACAACTAGGTACAGAGTGAGTCCAGAGTCATCGTGATTGGCGGGAGACTCCAAACTGGCAAGACCCTCCAGGACGTCTGGGATGCTGTTTGCCACAGCAATGGTAAGCGTGACGGTGGCTGAGAGAGGGGGTTGGCCGTGGTCCTGGACGGCAATAACGAGGCTCTGCTTGAGCGCATCTCTGTCCAGTAGGGCCCGCGCCGTGCGCACCTCACCTGTGTGCAGCCCCACCACGAAGAGCCCAGGCTCGCTGGCCTTGAGCAGGCGGTAGGACAGCCAGGCGTTCTGGCCTGAGTCTCTGTCCACTGCCACCACTTTGGTCACCAGGTATCCGGGCTCTGCAGATCGGGGTGCCAGCTCCACACCAGTGGAACCATCGGTGGGGAGGGCAGGGTAGAGGATTTCAGGGATGTTGTCGTTCTGGTCCAGCACGAACAGACTCAGAGACACGTTGCTGCTAAGCGGTGGGTCCCCGCTGTCATGTGCAGTCACTCTTAGTTGTAGGTTGTCAAACTGCTCATAGTCGAAGGAGCGCAGTGCATACAGGACGCCAGTATCTGAGTTGATGGATAGGTAGGAGGACAGAGGCTCACCCTGGATAGTGTCCTCCATCAGAGAGTAAGTTACCCGGGCATTCTCTTTGCTGTCCGGGTCGAGGGCAGTCACAGAGAAGATGGAGGCACCTCTAGGGTTGTTTTCCTGAATGTAGGCAGAATAAGAAGAGTGAATGAAAGCAGGAGGATTATCGTTGTCATCTGCCACATTCAGCGAGATATCAATTTCTGTAGACAAGGGCGGATTTCCATGATCTGTGGCTGTCAATGTTATATTGTAGGTCTGAACCTGCTCCCTGTCCAGCGCTTTGTTTGTTATCAGCTTGTAATAATTTCCATAAGTCTTTTCTAATTTAAAAGGCAGATGGCTAGGAATGAAACAGGAGACGTGAGCATTTTCTCCAGAATCCTGATCATGCACATTTAGAAGAGCAATTACTGTACCTGGAGGAGAGTTTTCCAGCATCGAATTAATAGAAGAGGTGATAGTTATTTCTGGAGCATTGTCATTCACATCCACAACTGTGATCAAAATCTTAGTGGTGGTCAAGAGACCTCCACCATCTTGGCCTTGAATTTCCATCTCATAGAATCTATATTTTTCAAAATCCAGAGACCCCCGTACTAGAACGTCTCCAGTTTGAGAATCCAACTGGAATATTTCAGAAGCTTTGCTTTCCATATTCCGGAATGAGTACATCACTTCTCCGTTGGTTCCCTCATCTGGATCTGTTGCATTTACCACGAGCACCCGAGTTCCAGACCTGAGGTTTTCAGGAACGCTCACTTGATACACAGACTGTGTAAACTTTGGGATGTGGTCATTTACGTCGAGGACCACCACTCGAATGGGAACAGCGCCCTTGCGGATGGGATCGCCTCCATCTAAGGCTGTCAGGAGGAGGAGGTGAGCAGCTTCCTTCTCTCGGTCCAGGCCTCCCTCCAGCACTAGCTCGGGATTCTTGGCCCCATCAATTCCACCTCGCACTTCCAAGGAAAAGTAACTATTATAACTGAGATGGTAGCTCTGGAGGGAGTTCCTTCCCACATCCGGATCCCTAGCGTGAGGAAGGGGAAATCGCGATCCAGGAGTTGCATGCTCGCCGACTTTTATCTCTACTTCCTCTTCCAGGAAGCTGGGGGCGTTATCATTAACATCCACTATTTCCACCTCCACTCCGTAAATCTTCAAGGTGTCTTCCACAAGAATCTCTATATTTAAAAAACAGGAGGACACCGCCTCACAAAGCTCCTCCCGGTCTATCCTACCCGCGGTGATCAAGCTGCCGCCTCGCGGATTCAGAGCGAAAAGCTGCGTCTTTCCTCTGGAGACGATGCGGACTCCGCGCTCCGCCAGCTCCTGGGGCTCCAGCCCCAGGTCCTTGGCGATGTTGCCCACGAAGGAGCCTTTGTCGGTCTCTTCGTGCACCGAATATCGGATCTGCTCAGCTCCGAATTCTCGCAGCGTCCCAAGGAAAATGCACAGCAGAACCAGCCCGCTGCAGTCCAGGCGCTGTCGCCGATTCGCCATGGCAGGGTCTGAGCCGATATTCCGCGGTGTCTTGCGCCCGTTTGTTCTAAATCAGCTCACGTATCTACAAAGTCCCGGGCCGTCCGCATCCAAAATATAGTAGAAAGCGTAGGAAAGTGCTTTTAAGTTTCCAGCATCAGGATCTGTGAGTATTCGTCTCATTCTGCTTTGTGTGGTAGAGGAGGGGGAGGAGAGATTCTGTAGCTCGCAGCTTCCCATCCCCTGATTGGTGAACAGCGGCGCCTAGAGCCTAATCTTATTATTGCAACTACTAAGCTACTAAGAAAAACAACCAATGTGCAGTTTCCGGAAGAAATTACTCACCTCTTCGTGAATCAATAAGCTACTAAGAAAAACAACCAATGTGCAGTTTCCGGAAGAAATTACTCACCTCTTCGTGAATCAAACGTATTTGTAAAGCTTAAAATTGCAAATAATGGTTATGTAATGTTATGTTAAAAGTTTACCAAGAGCACTAATGAAAAGAGTAACTATTAAAAGGGCTTGCTTAATTTTTAAGAAGTTTTCAAAATACTACTGGAACAGAAAACTTGCAGGTTAGGTTTGGTCCTGATGGATTTTTATCAACTGAAGAGAGCGGCATTGTAAATGTGGAGTGGACATAGCACACCGTTCTGAAAAAATTATCAGGTAGGATGTATGACTATAACTCTCACCCATGTTTCTTTGTTGAGTAAAACAAAGATGAAATGTTTCAGAAAATTTGAATAGCATTAGGGCTGTCATTTAAAATATTACCATATAAAAATATAACTGTAACCCATATCCTTAACTAAAAGGTTTTTTACCATGAAAATTTCGCCTGAGATTTCCCATTTATTTTACCTTAAAATGCCTTTGAATAGTAAGAGAATAAAAGCATTGTAACTTTCGAAAAGTAGGAGGATTGAAGCATTGTAAACTTTTGTCTTGACAGTGATACCCACACGTTTGGTCTATATTTATTTTAGGAACTCTGTCAAGTGATTACCTAGAATCTTGAAAAAACGGCGCTGTATTAAAACTATCAGCGTATAGGAATAGGAAAGCATTATGTTAAGTACTTACCAGTTTAGAAGTCTTATCTCCTTCAACACTAGAAGTTAAAATACTAGCCAATAGCACAGAAGAGGTGTCATTGTTGAGAATATCTTGCATGGCAGAACAATGATCAACAGATGTGAGAAAATTAAATTCCGGATTAGTTTGATCCCCAGGCACACACAAATTGTAGGAATAGGGCAACGTTCCCTCACTGTAGTTGGGAGGTACCTTGGGTCCAGACTTGGAACAGAGACCAGGCTGAAAGCAGCCCCAGGCAGTAGGACTGGAGGAGTGTTGCAGGCGCAGGGCGATGGCCAGAATCACCGCGAGGAGAAAGAGCACGGAGATCAAGGCCAAGGCCACCACCAGGTAAAATTGCAGCTCCGCTTGGGGGTCAGAGGGTGTAGGACCATGGGTGAGATCCGGCAGCGCCTCTTGTAGGCTGTCTGCGAAGACCAGGAGCAGTGTTGCGGTGGCTGAGAGAGGTGGCTGTCCACCGTCGCGCACAGTTACCAATAGGCGCTGTCGGGCTGCGTCCCTGTCCCCCAAGGCACGCACCGTACGCACCTCGCCAGTGCGCAGTCCCAGGCTGAAGAGCCCGGGCTCGCTGGCCTGCAGCACGTGGTAGGACAGCCAGGCGTTGTGTCCCGAGTCTGCGTCCACTGCCACCACCTTGGTGACCAGGTAGCCGGGCTCCGCCGCGCGCGGCACCGTGTCGAAGAGCGCCGAGCCGTCGGGCCCCAGCGCCGGGTACAGCACCCGCGGCGCGTTGTCGTTGCGGTCGCCCACCAACACGCGCAGGCTCACGTTGGCGCTGAGCGCGGGCGAGCCCTGGTCGCGGGCCTGCAGCGTCAGCTCGAAGGCGCGCAGCTGCTCGTGGTCGAAGGCGCGCTGCGCGAACACCACCCCGCTCTGTGCGCTCACGGACACGTAGGACGACAGCACCCGCGGCTCCAGGTCACTGGCCACGATTGCGTAGGAGACGCTGCCGTTAGACCCCAAGTCGGGGTCAGAGGCACAGACCTGCGCTATGGAGGTACCAGGCTGGTTGTTTTCTGGCACATGGACCAGGTAGGCGGACTGTCGGAAAACTGGCGCGTTGTCGTTGATGTCGGTAATGTGCAGGGTGATGGTTGTGCTGGAGGAGAGGGGTGGCTTGCCCCTGTCGCTGGCTGTGATGGTGATATTGTACTCCGGGGTCTGCTCCCGGTCCAGGTCTCCATCTGTTACTAACTTGTAGTAATTATTAGAAGAAGAATGAATCTTAAATGGAGCATCTCTACTTAAACTACACCTGACTTCACCATTTTCCCCAGAATCTTGGTCTCGTGTTTTGAAGAGGGCCACAACCATTCCTAGAGGGGAGTCCTCCAAAATCTGATCAGAGAGAGAAGTGATGATTATTTCTGGGCTGTTGTCATTTTCATCTAGAACTTCTATAATTACTTTACACCGTGTGGAGAGAGATCCTCTGTCCTTTGCTTCTACATTCATTGTAAATCTTTCCACTTCTTCAAAGTCCAAGGACCGATGAGTTTTAATGTTTCCTGTAGTGGAATCCAGAGAGAACACATGCTGAGCTTTGTCAGCCACACCAAGGAAGGAGTAGATGATCTCTGCGTTGATGCCCTCGTCCTGGTCAGTGGCCCTCACCCTCAGGACCGAGGTGCCGGGAGGCACACCTTCCCGAACGCTGACCCTGTACACGTCCTGGCTGAATACTGGGGGGTTGTCGTTGGCATCGACCACCACGATTCTGATCTGAGCAGTACCGCTTCGGGGCGGGTCCCCACCATCTAAAGCTGTCAGCACCAAGTGGTGAGCGCTCTGCGTTTCTCGGTCCAGGGTCTTCTGCAATACTAATTCTGGATATTTGCCACCATCGGGATTGTCTTTCACTACCAATGAAAAATACTCGTTAGGAATTAGTTGGTATTTGCTCAGTGAATTCATACTGATATCGGGATCTTCTGCGCACTCAAGAATAGTTCCCATCCCCGGGCTGACGGATTCACTAATTTCTAAGTTTATTTCATCTTTAGGGAAATGAGGGGCGTGGTCATTGATATCCTCAATTGTCACAATGATATGAAAAATATTTAAAGGATTTTCCACCACCGCTTCTAACTGCAGCTCACAGCTTCTTTTCTCTTTGCATATCTGCTCACGGTCTATTCGGTCTTTCACAAGTAAGTCCCCGCTCTCCGCGTCCACGCTGAAGTGCAGCTTCTCGGCGCTGACTCGCAGCTTCCGAGCCGACACATCCAGGACACTGAGCCCGAGATCCTTGGCGAGGTTCCCTACCACCGAGCCTTTGGCCAGCTCCTCGGGAATCGAGTAGCGGATCGGCTCGCACAGCGCGGGGTGGAACAAAGGCAGCACGAAGAGAAACAGTACCTGGCCGGACCGCCGCCTCTGTGCGCCGCTCCCTGCCATTGCGCCTTCTGGTTCTCGCTCGGCCCCCGCCTCTCCAGTTGAAGGAAATGCGCTCTACCGCGCTGGAAGAGCATTCGGCCCAGTGCAGGCGGAGCACCCGGTCTCGGGGCTGGGAACCCGTGCGTACTGGGCTGGCCGGGTCTGCGCAGCCGGGAGCCTCTGTGTGTGAGCGGGTTTCCTTGTGTCTGTGTTGGTGACTGCGCAGGAAATCCCAGGCTGGAGGCTGAGGGATCCCGGACATCAGCACTTGCTCTGCACTGGCCGACAGCGGCGCCCAGAGGCTCCGTGTGGAACCGCAGTCTGGCTTTTCTCAATCTCTTGAAATTTTAAAATATATAAATTCATAGCCAAATTTTTTTTAATAGCCAAGATGTTATAATCTTATTCCGCAATGATTCCGTTTTCATCATGAAACATATTTTTCATGTTGTCACAATTATTATATCTTTTTACATGTCAAAATTTATTTATATTTTGAATAGATTAAGGTATTTCAAAATTCAAAACAGACAGAAACGAATATAGAGTGAAGGGTTTTAGGTGTCGCATCCCAAGGCCCACTGCTATCCAGTCCCTTCATTTAGAGGTAATCAGTGTTGTTTCTTTTAAAAGTAATCATCCAGGAAGCTAAAAATACTGAAGATAAGGGAAAAACATTTTTGTCTGTAATCCTAGCCTGTTATCAGCTAGAAAGTAATAATCCTTCCTTCCATATTTAGGTACTGGAATGCAACCATTGCATATTCATTACAATTATTTACGGTGTCCTGTATTGCTTTTAAATTATATTTTAAAACATTTGCTTACATAGGTACAATGTCCAATGAGTAGTTATTTTAAAAAGGTTTTTTTTAAAAAACAATAGAAGTATTTGAGTTGGATACATAATAATGATTTGAGTTGGATACATAATAATTTGAGTTGGATACATCAAAATTACCGATGATTTAATAGGTAATGATTATGGCCCTAAAAAGTGTGATTTCCTTCCACAGACTTATCATTGAACAAATGCTGACTGACATGAAAAATGTCATAGTCTCATAAGTGTTTTGAAAAACTTTAGAACATTCTTTGACTTCATGCTACCAAGTTTAGTAGAATATTGGCAATAAATTAAAAGTAAGAGATCAAATCAAATACATCACTTTCCTCACTGAACTAAATGGGCTCATCAGTACCTTCACTGATCATTTATTTAGAATAATTTTGTATGTTTCTCCACTTATATTCTGATCTCCCACAGCAGTGGCATTTCTTTCTTGACCTTAAGTTTATTTTGACACTCAATTTCAGAGTTTTCAGATTTTCAGGTGTTTTCCTTCCTCTGCATTAAAGTGCCACTGAAATACCTTTGTCTCACATCACTTGCTCCTGTCCTTAGGAAAATGTACAAATGTATGTCTCCCCAATCTATATTTATTTTTAGCTTTAGTGATCAGATAATTTAACAAAAAAGATAAAGAAAGCAGAACTCTAAATTTCCTTATTTGAATTCTCTATTGCCTTTTTAGAATCCCCGTCGAGCAAGAAAAGTCAAACTAAATGCTGTATCTTCCACCTAGCAGTATTAAATTAGAGAATTATATACAAAAAGGGTGCTGCAGTGTTACTAGGAATGATTACAGTTGGAAAAATGTAAGCACATATTGTTGTGAATTGTTAATTAAATATTAATGGGAAATTTAAATCTCTGTAGAAGTGTATTAAGCCGCAACTATCACTACAAGGAAGAGTGTGAAAAATACAAATACAAAGGCATACCATTCTCCTTGGAAAAACCAACACTGAGCAACCTTGGGTTTGGGTCATGTTTCCAGTGAAGCTAAATAATTTGTTTCTGACATTTACGTATTCTTACCAGACCTGCCTTCAAAACAAGATCTAGGTTGTCTAAGAGGCTAGGATTTCAGTATATGGCTACCCAGGAGAACATACAAATTGACAGACCTTTCTGTATGAAATTATCTCTTTGGAATTGTCAGTATTGTACTGAACAACAGTATGAAATATGAGGTTCTGCATAATAATCATAACAGCCTTATGACAAAAGCACTTCATTGAAACTAGGTGAATTTTAACAGAAAATTTTTTAAAAGTCAGCCTTAATAATCATCAAACTCTACTCTTCAATGTTTTAGCAAGAGGAAAGTGTCACTAAAACAGAGAAAAGTGATGAAAGTTAAAGATTTAAAATTGTCATCATCATGCTGCAAACCCCAAAGTAAAACCAATCATAATTTTTAAACGAAAGACATGAGAAAAATAAAACTCACTGGAACCAAAGGGGTATCTTCTATGGGAAACTTCGAATCATCTAATAAAGACAAAGGATCCTTTTTCTCACAGCTCTCCTGGCTGATGAGCGTGTCTGCATAGTTGGGCTGAGGGAAGATTAGGTTACTCTTCCCTGAGTCCGCGGTGAGGGAGACCTCATGGGAATAGGTCTGCAGGAAAGCCCGCACCCCATCCACGCCCATAAACTGTGAGGCAGGCATGCCCACCAACCCACCACCAGCAGCCTGACGCAGCCTCGATGAATGCCAATGCCGCAGTCTGAGTGCCAGCAGCATGATGACAAAGGCCAGAAAGACACAGGAGACAGCAGCCACCGCCACCACCAGGTAAAGCGTGAGGCCTGAGGCATCAGAGTCATGCAGGGGCTTGAGGTTGCCCAAATCAGCCAGAATGTCAGGGATGTTATCAGCCACGGCCACAGTGAGAGTGATGGTGGCAGATAGAGGAGGTTGGCCATGATCCTGGACGGCCACCACGAGGCTCTGCTTGAGTGCATCTCTGTCCAGCAGAGCCCGAGCTGTGCGCACCTCACCTGTGTGCAGCCCCACCACGAAGAGCCCAGGCTCACTGGCCTTGAGCAGGCGGTAGGACAGCCAGGCATTCTGGCCAGAATCTCTGTCCACTGCCACCACCTTGGTCACCAGGTATCCAGGCTCTGCAGAGCGGGGTGCCAACTCTACACCAGTGGAGCCATCAGTAGGGAGGGCAGGGTACAAGATTTCTGGTGTATTGTCATTCTGGTCCAGCACGAACAGGCTCAGTGACACATTGCTACTGAGTTGTGGGTCCCCACTGTCTCTGGCCATCACCTGCATCTGCAGATCATGAAACTGCTCATAGTCAAAGGATCGGAGTGCATACAGAACACCAGTGTCCGAGTTGATAGATATATAGGAGGATAGAGGTGCGCCCTGGATGATGTCTTCAGCCAGGGAGTAAACAACCTGGGCATTCTCTTTGCTGTCTGGGTCGAGGGCTGTGACTGAGAAGATGGAGGCACCCCTGGGGTTGTTCTCTGGGATATAGGTAAAGTAGGAGATGTGAGAGAAGGTGGGTGGGTTGTCATTGATATCTGCCACATGCAGGGTAAAATGAGTTTTTGTCGATAGAGGTGGGCTCCCTCCATCTGTGGCTGTTACTGTGACATTGTAAGAGGATACCTGTTCTCTGTCAAGGGCTCTATGCGTCACCAGCCTATAGTAACTGTCAATAGACTTTTCTAACTTAAATGGTAGATTCTCTGAGATGGAACAGGTTACCTGTCCATTCTTCCCAGAGTCTAAATCATGCACGTTTAAAAGGGCTATGACAGTTCCCAGAGGTGAATCTTCGGTCACTGGACTAAACAGAGATGTGATGGTCACTTCTGGACTGTTGTCATTTACATCTTCTACTGTAATTAACACTTTTGCTGTTGCAAGATATGCTCCTCCATCTTCTGCTTGTATTTCTATTTCATAGAACCCTGTTTCTTCATAATCTAGATTTTCTGATATTTTTATTTCCCCCGTGTATTTGTTTAGTTGGAATTTCAACAATTGTGTGTCAGGTAATTTTCGGAATGAATATGTCACCTCTCCATTGGCTCCTTCATCCCTGTCGCTGGCGGTGACCGTCAGCAGCTGAGTGCCCACAGCCAAGTTCTCAGGAACACTCACTCGGTATTCCGGCGAAGTGAAGACAGGAGCGTTGTCGTTTGTATCGAAGACAGTCACACTGACGAGGACAGTGCCAGACCGGGGAGGATCACCCCCGTCGGAGGCAGTGAGGACCAGATGGTGAACCGCCTCCTCCTCGCGATCCAGGGCGTGCTCCAGCACCAGCTCTGGGTACCTGACGCCATTGGCACGGCTCTGAACTCCCAGGGAGAAGTGCTTATTGGGGCTGAGCTGGTAGCTCTGGAGGGAGTTCACGCCCACATCCGGATCGACAGCTTCCGGGAGAGGAAAACGCATTCCTGGAGCGACGTTTTCATTAATTTTTATGTCTAGATTTTCTGCTTGAAATTTTGGGGCGTTGTCGTTGATATCTGTTACTTCTATCTCTATCCCGAAAAGCTTCACCCTGTCTTCCACAAGAATGTTAAAGCTCACCAGACACCGCGCGCTCTGAGCGCAGAGCTCCTCCCGGTCAATCCTGCCCGCGGTGACCAAGCTGCCGCTCCGCGGGTTCAGAGAGAAAAGCTGCGTCCTACCTCTGGAGACGATGCGGACTCCGCGCGCTGCCAGCTCCCCGGGCTCCAGCCCCAGGTCTTTGGAGATGTTGCCCACGAAAGAGCCTTTCCCCAGCTCCTCAGGAATGGAGTAGCGGATCTGCCGAGCTCCGGCCTCCCAAAGCAAACCAAAGACGAGGCAAAGCAGGACCAGCTTGCCGCAGTCCTTGCGATTCTTTTGAGCGGCCATTGTTGTCTGGTCACAGAATTATCGCAGAGTCCGCACTGGGCACGTTGTGCGTTCCAACCGGTTCCTTTTTCTTTCTGTAGCTGCAGGGAGTCTCTGCACCCCGCTCACCTTAAATTCCGGAGTGACTTTCGCTGCAGCCCAGGGCAGGTCTGTAGGAATTGTGAGGCTTTGTGTAGTTAGAGCCCTGAGAATCCGACTGAGCTTGGATGCTCACCTTAAATTCCGGAGTGACTTTCGCTGCAGCCCAGGGGAGGTCTGTAGGAATTGTGAGGCTTTGTGTAGTTAGAGCCCTGAGAATCCGACTGAGCTTGGATGCTTTTCTCTCCTAGTAGGTGAGCAGCGGCGCTTAGAGTCCTAAGAAGTTATTGCACCCACTATACGCGTATATACAATAGAAAGCAAACGCTACTCTCTGTTGGATTTTTAAATTTTACATTGATTCTTTGGTTTCTCCACTCATATCTTTAAATCAATTACTATTTGTAGGTTTCTTACTGGGTGTGGGATAAAGTGAGATGAAAATACTATAAAATGTTAGATGACATCATGTGGTTAAATATATATTTGCAACACATTTCCCCCAAAGAAATGTACCCACGTTATAAGGCAAATAATGCCTATTTGATGTCCTGCGAGTTTCTAGCTATATTCAGAAAAGTCTTACAACTTTATTTGAAATTGTGACTTAAATAGTCCAATTATGTTTAGTATATATTCATATAGAGATTATATTAGATATATCCCTTATGAGTTAGTTCACTTTGAAGTGTTTTATTTTACATGTAATTAATTAAATTTGGTTAGCTTGGATTGTGTAAGAGGTTTCCAAAATATTCTTTTCTAAAATAGTTTTATTGAGCATTAGAGAATCTTGTTTTTTAAAAATATACTTTTTCTTATAGTCATATATTGTTTGAAGTTAATTTGACTTATTTAAATGAATTGAGCAGGTAATCACAAAGTAAACGGAACTCTTATTACAGTTGCAAATTAAAACGTTTGACTTGTAATGGGAAGAGAAATATGCAGAAGAATTTCAAATGCTAAAAATTTTTGAAAATGAAGTTAGATATAGTGATGTTGATTTTTAACACATAAGTATTTATGTATTCATCACAGCATTGACACCAATATAAGTAATCTCTTCTCTTAGACAGTTTGTATGGAAGTCCAAACTAAAGTGGTCTACGCATCTTCAATTGTGTGTGCCATAACCCAACAGTAGTTCTTTCCTCAAATGTAAGGGGTTTAGAGGGTCACTTTTTTCATACAGAGAACAAGTCATTCAGGGGTATTTATGTCACTATGCTTCCAAATATGGAATTCCTCAAAAATTTTATCTTTTCTTCAAAGTTTTTATATCAGAAGATCAGAGACAGAAACAGAACAAAAGGCAATAGCATTTCATTTGCTTTCTTGGAAATGTCTTTATCTTGCAATGGAGAGGAAAATAGATTGGAAGTAGAATTTGAGTTCTAAGATAGGATCATAAATATAGAAGAAAGCCAGAAGGACCAAAAGCAGAAGCGGGGGAAAAAAAAAACAACCCCTCTAGGGTAGTTAGCATTAAGTTTTGGGGACCATAGAAATCTTAAAAATATGAACAAAGTTTTGAATCCTCTCCCCAGAAAAATGTATACATCTGTACCTTTACATACAATATCAGCGAATTCTTGGATCTGCTGACCCCCCCCATGCTTACAGTTTGAAAAAAAATATTGATGTAAATGAAGAAAGACACCTAAAACTACAATATCAGCGAATTCTTGGATCTGCTGACCCCCCCCCCATGCTTACAGTTTGAAAAAAAATATTGATGTAAATGAAGAAAGACACCTAAAACTTGAAGGTTTTTCTGCAGTTAATATTTCATTGAAAGGAGCACCTGCTTTATATTTAATGCATGCCCGAATATTTTTAAGCTTTACAAGTATAAATAAGATATGAAAAATTCCTTGAAGTCTTAGCAAATTTGAATACATGGGTTATTCATTTATTTGTTTAGAAGCCAAGACTACTGCTTCTATCTGCTAATGAGAGCTTGACAAACTAGTTTGGTCACATTTTTTACATCAAGTGACACAGCAACTTATGAACCAAATAAGCCTTGAAAAATGTAATGGAGAGAAAAACATTGAGAAGATAAAATGATTATTAGCTATGGATTTGAAAAATATGATTCTAGATATGAAAATGGAGTAGTATATCTGAAGTATGAGAAACTAGTAGAATATTAAAGAGACACAAAAATTGAACTCACCGGTGTAAGAGTCTCAGGATGGGAGGTCGACTCACGGGAATTACAAAGTGGAAACATGACCCCAGAAGCATCACCACAAAGTAGGTCTTGTCCTGAACTCAACTGCTCACTACATTGTAGGAAATTAAACTCCGTCTTTCCTGTTTGTGCAACACACAGATTGTAGGAATAAGGTAAAGTTCCCTCGCTGTAGTTGGGGGGAACCACGGGTCCAGATTTCACACAGAGACCAGGCCGAAAGCAGCCCCAGGCGGCGGGGCTGGAGGAGTGTCTCAGGCGCAGGGCGATGGCCAGAATCACCGCGAGGAGGAAGAGCACGGAGATCAAGGCCAAGGCCACCACCAGGTAAAACTGCAGCTCCGCCTGGGGGTCAGAGGGCACAGGGAGGTCACTGAGCTCTGGCAGTACCTCCTGCAAGCTGTCCGCGAAGACCAGGTGCAGCGTGGCGGTGGCCGAGAGAGGTGGCTGTCCACCGTCACGCACAGCGACCAGCAGGCGATGTCGGGCCGCGTCCCTGTCCCCCAAGGCACGCACCGTACGCACCTCGCCAGTGCGCAGTCCCAGGCTGAAGAGCCCGGGCTCGCTGGCCTGCAGCACGTGGTAGGACAGCCAGGCGTTGTGTCCCGAGTCTGCGTCCACTGCCACCACCTTGGTGACCAGGTAGCCGGGCTCCGCCGCGCGCGGCACCGTGTCGAAGAGCGCCGAGCCGTCGGGCCCCAGCGCCGGGTACAGCACCCGCGGCGCGTTGTCGTTGCGGTCGCCCACCAACACGCGCAGGCTCACGTTGGCGCTGAGCGCGGGCGAGCCCTGGTCGCGGGCCTGCAGCGTCAGCTCGAAGGCGCGCAGCTGCTCGTGGTCGAAGGCGCGCTGCGCGAACACCACCCCGCTCTGTGCGCTCACGGACACGTAGGACGACAGCACCCGCGGCTCCAGGTCACTGGCCACGATTGCGTAGGAGACGCTGCCGTTGGGACCCAAGTCCGGGTCTGAGGCGCTAATCTGGGCGATGGAGACTCCAGGTGGGTTGTTTTCTGCCACGTGAACCAAGTAGGACGCCTGGTGGAAAACCGGAGCGTTGTCATTGATGTCGGTAATGTGTAGGGTGATGCTTGTTCTGGAAGAAAGGGGCGGCTTGCCCCTGTCGGTGGCCGTGATGGTGACATTGTATTCCGGGTTCTGTTCTCGGTCCAAGGGTCCATCTATCGCCAGCTTGTAGTAATTATTAGAAGAAGAATAAATTTTGAAAGGAACATCTCTTTCTATACTACACGTGACTTCTCCGTTTTCTCCGAAATCCCGGTCTCGTGTTTTGAAGAGGGCCACAACCATTCCTGGAGGGGAATCCTCCAAAATCTGATCAGAGAGAGAAGTGATGATTATTTCCGGGCTGTTGTCGTTTTCATCTAGGACTTCTATGATCACTTTACACTGCGTAGAGAGACCACCTCCATCCTTTGCTTCCAATTCCATGGTGTATCTTTCTACATCTTCAAAATCCAATGACTGATTATTCTTAATCATGCCTGTTTTCTCATCTAATGAGAACATGTGTCTTGTGCTCTGGGCAGTGCTCCGGAAGTAGTAGTTTATCTCTGCGTTGACCCCCTCATCCTGGTCAGTGGCTGTCACCTGCAACACGGGGGATCCGGGGGGCAGATTTTCACTAAGACTGATTCTGTATTCGTCTTTACTGAACACTGGGGGGTTATCATTGGTGTCCCTGACACAGATTTCTATATGAGTGGTGGCACTTCGTGGCGGGTCCCCTCCGTCCAAGGCAGTCAATATCAAGTGATGAGATCTCTGCTTTTCCCGGTCTAGGAGTTTCTCCAGAGATAACTCTGGGTATTTGCCGCCATCGGAATTCACTCTAACCATTAATGAAAAATAAGGGTTTGGGTTGATCTGATAATCTTTAATTGAGTTTATGTTTATATCGGGATCAGTGGCAGGGTCAAGGGATATTCGTGCACCAGTGGATACAGATTCAATAATTTCTAAATGTATTTCCTTTTTATCGAATTGAGGAGCATGATCATTGATATCCTCAATTGTCACAATGATATGAAAAATATTTAAAGGATTTTCCACCACCG